CAAAAAAAAAAAAAAAAAAAAAAAAAAGGAAATGAAGGCATACGCTGAGTGAATGAGCCAGTCACGAAAGATTTCTCTCGTGTGGAGTTGGAGGAGATGGATGGGCAGAAGAACAGTGGCTGCTGGAGCCGGGAAGGGGACGCGGATTGATCCCACGGGGTGCACAGCTTCTCTGCTTTAGGAGGGTGAAAGTGGTCTGCGAATGGAACGATCATGGGGCGACGGTTGCACAAAAATATCTCAGGAGGCTGAGGCAGGAGGATCGCTGAATTTGAGGCCAGCTGGCATTCCACAGTGAGCTCAAGGTCAGCCTGAGCTACACATGGAGACCCTGCTTCAAAACACACAAACCACGCTGGCCGGGGATTCAGCTTGGTGCTTCCATGGCCTGCCTCGCAAGCCCAAGGACCTGAGTTCAACCGACGCTTCCCAACCACAACAAAACAAAAAGACAAAACACAAAAGAAGTGATGGACGTAGAGCCGTTTGGAAATGCTGAGGAGCCCACTGTGGCCACATGGCCATCTGGCTCCCCTGCGCAGAGGTGCGGTCAGGCCTGTGAGGGAGGCCAGCCTGACTCGAGCTGACAGGGTGACAGAAATGTGAGCCATCTCTCCTACCCCTGTAATTTGTCTTTTATGTTTTTTTCACATTTTTCTGTCACTGACGGATGGTTTTTATGGCAGAGGAAACATTCCTTGAGTTCTCCATGCTTTAAAGTCCCTGTTGTCCACGCTTCCCCCGCAGGGGACCTGGCGTTAGCCCCCAGGTGACAGTAATGTGTCCCTTCCCAGCTGAGTCACCCGCCAGGTTCCCGAGGCTGGGCCGGACCCAGAACCCGGCAGCTATCAGCCAGGCCCAGGACCACAGTTTGGATGTGTGTGGACTCGCAGGCCCAGCAAGCATCAGCCCCCGCCTCCGAGGTCAGAGACACAGAAACAAGGAACCCAGAGCACCCCAAAGCCAAACCTCCCGGGACCAGAGTGTCCTGAGTGCTGATCCAAGTGGGAGGGAAAGGTGTACGCGGCCAGGTCACATCAAAGAGGGCAGGTCAGAGGGAGGGCAGGTGGAGGAAGGCTTTGGAGGAGGCTGGGATTCTGAAAGCCATGGGGGATGGGCCAGGAGCTCTAGGGAGGGACTGAGGCCCAGGCAGGGCAGGGTGCTGCGGTGAGGCTGATCTTACGGGGTCTGCACGGCGGCGAGGCCTGGCATGCAGGGCGGGCTGCGCTACTTGACCTTTTCCTATGGGAAAAGCCTAGGAATCAGCCTGGGTGCGCAGAGCTCTTACTGCTTTCACTGTTCTGGACCTCGGCTCCCCTGGCCCACTGCCCTGGGGATCGTCAAGTGCAGCCAAAGGTCCCCCGAGACACTGATCTTCAAAGCACCCCAACTGCTTTCCCTGGGGGGGCCTCAGACAGTTAGCAGGTGGGGGCTGAGGGGGCCTGGCTGCAGAGCGAAGGGAAAAGTTCTCTTTGGCCTGGAGCAATTTATTCAAGTAACATTTAATTGCAGGCTTTGCCATGAGACTTCCAAATTTTATGCCGCAGTAAAAACGCAGCCGCCTTTGAAATGATTAAGCGAACATCACGGTCCTGCCGCACGCGGCCAGCGTCACCGCACCTAATTAAGGCTCGGCCTGGATCCGGAGCTGTGTGTGCTCCTGAGAGTCACCACGGGGAGGCCCGGTCTCCTCCCCAGGAACACGGGGTGCAGGGGCTCGGCCAGGACCCGCATCCTCCAGTCCCCTCATTGGCTCTTCACTGCCCCCCAGTTCCTGTGCAACCCCAAAAGGGACAGGAAGAGGTCGTCACCAAGCCAGCAGGTGAATGCACAGGTTCAGGGAAGATGCGAGGGCTTAGCAGTCTCTTTCCTCCTAGGGTCTGTGTTCCCACCCAGAAAGTGGGGGCACCGCACAAGGCAACCGAATATGACAGCCACCCCTGCTGCTCCGGTCACATCTTCCCCGTCTGAGTCGGCCTTGAACTCACTGTGGAGCCCAGGCTGGCCTCAGACTTGCTGCACCCCTCCTGCCTCAGCCTCCCAAGTGCTGGGATGACACGTGTGCGCCACACCTGCCTCTCCTTCCCGCCTGCTCTTGTTCCTCGGCTCGGCCCATTCTTACCTCAGGGACTCGGGACAGGAAGGCCAGGGTGGTCTCCAGCCTGGGCAGGAGCCCAGCCGGCAGGCAGCTCACAGGATGGCAGGAGGCTGAGTAGAGAGATGCCATTCCCAATGCAGGGAAGTCGCAGAACCCCACAGGGCCATCTCTGTTCCCATTGTGCAAATCAACTGGAAAAAAAATTGAACTGAGAGCAGGCCGTGGTGGTGCACACCTATAATCCCAGCACTCGGGAGGCTGAGGCAGGAGGATCCCCACAAGTTTGAGGCCAGCCTGGACTACACAATGAGTTCAAACCGGGCCTGAACTACATAGTGAGACCTTGTTTCAAAAAAGAAACAAGAAAAGAAAAAAAAATTTCAGCTGAGGATGCAGTTGAACTGGAACATGAGGGGAAGAGACTGACCTATTTCTTTTTTCTCCTGACATCAGTGAAAACCTAAATTCCTAGGGGCTGGAGCTGGGTGGACCTCAGCAGGTGGGGTATGTGGGAGGTTGGGGGAGGACTGCGGAGGGAGGAGGGACGGCACAGCTCTCCCCTGCATGCCTGCCCTCCTGAAGTTCTGTTGATGTCGTCGTCCCCGGGTCCCCTCGTGCACTGTCCTGGTTACACCCTGGGCTACGGCTTCGGTCTGAACTGTCCCCCAGGCGTGGGCTTTTGGAAGGGGACTGGATCACCCCCAGTACTCAGTACTCAGTATTCAGTACTCAGCAGTAGGCTCACCCATGGACGAGGGTGTGGCTGAGTGTCTGAGGGGTGGGGGGCTGTCAGGGTGGCTCCGGAGGTGGACCCCTCTCTCTCTGGCTCTTCCTACTCTCTGCTCCTGACTGCCCGCAGGTGAGTGGCTGCCCTCTTCTGCCAGGCCATTTCCACCTTGCAGCCGGGCAGCCATGGACTGAACCCTCTGAAATCACGAACCCAACCACCCCCTCCTCCCTGTACATTGTAGGTGTCAGTTGTCCGTCCTGGTGATGAGAAAGTGACCGTCGCCCAGCCATCGCCCTGCCCTCCTAGTAAGCCGGGGACCAGGGCGCCCCACACTTCAAAGCACCTTCCCACCCTTCGCCTTGTCTTCAGAGAGACAACTCTGCCATTCCCACCACAGGGGCTCTAGGTGGATCCTGCTAGCATGGGGCTGACTTGCTGCCACTTGTGACTGTCACTTAGACCCTACTTCCTTTCTCCCACTTCCCTACCCCATCCCATCGACCTCTCTTCCCATCCATTTTTCTTCCATATTCCTCTTTTTTGTTGTTTTGTTTCTTGGTGTGTGTGTTTTGAGACAGGGTCCCACTATGTAGTTCAGACTGGCCTCCAACTCACAGCGATCCTCCTGCCTCAGCCTCCCGAGTGCTGGAATCACAGTTATGATCCCCTACCCCAACTTCCTGTCTCTTTAGTCCCTGTTCTTTCTCCTTCTCATCAGCCATGGCCCCCACAAATAACTTCAGCTCTGTGGGAGACCCCTCTGTCTTGAAGGACTAGCACCCCAGCTCAGGATGCCCCTGACCGTCGGTCCCCACTGGGCAGCTGGCCCATCTACTCCAGCAGGAATCAGGAGACTTCCGGTTATGTGACGGCTCTGTCAGCCCAGGCCATAGCCACAGAGCCCCTGAGTCCAGCCCTCAGCATTCTCCTCCCCAAAGTGGGATGATCATGCCTGGATGCCCGGTGCTTGGACGGGCTGGGAAAGTCGCCCTCACGACACTGGAGGGTGTGCGATATTTGATAAACACCCACTGAAGGCAGCAGCCCTGGTACCCTGAACTGCCCCTTGAGGTGGCTTTGGAAATCCCAGGGCAAGCACTGGACAAGAAACCCAGCAAGCGCCGGAGAGAGCTATGGGTGGGAGAGGCACAGGTGCCCTGGCCGGGCTGCTCTTTGCCCCCCAACACCCCTCCCCCAGGCACCGGCCTCCTGCCCTGGGGCCCAGGCCCTGAACTGTGGTGTCTGTCTATGGTGTTGATGGACCACGCTGTGACACACCGGTGCCCAGTGAGGGGTGCAGGCCACAGGGCAGGAGCCCTGGCATTGCCTGGCTGGGACAGAGGTGTTCGGGTGACTCTACTCGTCCGGAGCTGGACACTTGCACAGAGAAGTGGGGGATTTTCAGATTCAACCCCTTGCTGCTGCTCCCCGGGGTCCCATGAGTGGAGGTACAGGAATTGAGGGTCACAGATGGGGGGACAGGTCAGCCCCAGATGGGGGGCTTAGCAGATCCAGGACACAGAAGAGGAAGGGGCGGCCGGGGGGAAGAGGAAGCCACCGTCTCCTCGTCGGGGACCCTGGTCCAGGCAGGCGGGGAGAGGCGTGGGCACCGGAGCCAGGGGGTTACTGGGAAGCTGGATGCAGGTGCCTCCGCCTCCACCCCAGGAAAACACACAAACAGAAGGGTTGTGCAAGGAGCCCCGGGCCTGAGAAGCAGCCTTCCGCACACCTCTGGCTCATAGCGACTTCCTTGATGACAGTCAGCTCGTGATAACTGGTAAAACAAGCTTTATTCAAAGTATGCGTGTAACAATTCAATCAGACAACAAGAGCTGGAGTACTAAGTGTCTTCAATGTGTTCACATTTTATATTTTACTGCAGCTAACAAATAGTTTGGTCCCTTTTAAACCATTATACTACTTGTCATCTTGAATATACATCTTCATTTTTGAGGTACTGAGACCATCAATAGGGTGGCACATTCCAACACCCTTGATGCTCAGGGGCCCACACCAGCTCAGCCTTAGCTACACATCTTCGTTTGCTCCGTTACTCAAGTTTGTCCAATTCTAGTCCTTCCATGTAAGGGTCTTCTCAAGGATTGGCATCTTACCCTCCATTACTAGATGACAATATTAGATCTTTGCTCCGTTTAAATACCCTCTATCTTGAGCCTAGGCCATATGGTCACTTCCCTGACTTGGGTCTTTGACTATCAACTGTTTCTTGGGACTTTCCTAATTTTCTAATCAAAAGGGCAGACATTAAAGGATCTCCATTCCTAGAGGTGATTACTTGAGAAAACTTTCTTAAGAAATGAACTTGAGGAGCCAGGTGTAATGGTACACGCCTAGAATCCCAACACTCTGTAGGCTGAGACAGGAGGATTGCCGTGAGTTTGAGGCCAGAGGCCAGCCTGGGCTACATAGTGAATTCAAGGCCAGCCTAAACTACATAGTGAGACCCTGTCTCAAATGCCAAAAAGAACCCCCCCAATTAAATTAAATTAAACTCTTATTTAAGAGAAATAAGCAACAAATAACAGCATAGAAATCCCGGAAGAAAAAGATATAATTCAGAGTAAAAGGGAACTTATGAAAACTCAAGAACGCTGAACTCTAGTATCCTAAGACAATTTCAAAAAGAAATAGCATTAATAAAATAAGAGTCTATTTTCATTCTATAATTAGAAATATGATTTCAGAATCTAAAATTTTAAATAAGTGTTGTAAGACAGAGTTGAAGAGTCTCCCCAAAAGTAGAAAAGATATATTAAAAAGATGAGAGAAGGGCTGGGGATCTAGTTCAGTGTTTCTGCTGCCTGCCTCGCAAGTGCAAGGACCCAAGTTTGATCCCTGGTACCAAACAAAAAACAAAAAACAAAAATAAATAGAAAAACAAAGAAACAAAACAAAATAAATAAATGAGAGAAGCCAGGTATGATGGTGTACACCTACAATCTCAGCACCCCGGAGACTGAGGCAGGGGGGTTGCCACAAGTTCAAGGGCAGCCAAGGTACATAGCAAGACCCTGTCTCACATAGCCCCCACACCTCTCTATATCCACAAAACAATAAAAGAAAAACAAACAAAAAAGAGAGAGAAGAAAAAAAAAGATGAAAAGAGAAGACAAAAAAATGATCTGAGAGCTGGGTGTGGTGGCGCACACCTGTCATCCCAGCACTTGGGAGGCTGAGGCAGGAGGATGCTGTGAGTTCAAGACCAGCCTGGGCCACATAGTGAGTTCCAGGTCAGTCTCAACTACATAGTGAGACCCTGTCTCAAAAACAAAAACAAACACAAACAAACAAAAATGATCTGAGAATTTCACAAACTCTAGGAACATGAAGTCTCCAGCAGGGCCTGCGTCAGTGTGAAGGAATAAAGAGCCCCACGAGGTTGAAATCGGAACACAGAGAAGACCCTGCAGACTCCCACCACGAAGCCAGGTGTCTCCATCAGTAACCACAGCACGTTCTGCCCAGTGCCCTGCACACCCAGGAGATGCAATCAGAATTCCATCCCCAGCTAAACTAGCAGCTGGCGTGGGATCCTGTGCAGCAGCTGTGCTGAAGGGCCGTAAGCCAGGAACACACAGACGTCAGAAACGGGGAGCCAGCGAAGCGGCAACGAGCAGTTCAGGACACCGAGGCCCAGGAGGCCCAGGAATTGCTAGAAATGAAGGAAGAACAAGGAATTGTGTGGACACAGGATGCCACAGCAGGCACTGGCTCCCGTTGGCTTGTTTCAACTTTTTCACAAGTCACTGAACTTGCCCAGCGTGGTGGTACAACCTGTACTGTAATCCCAGTACTCAGGAGGCTGAGGGAGGAATTACGGGGAGTTCAAGTCCAGCCTGGGCTCCAGAGCGGCTTCCAGTCCAGCCTGAACGACATAGTGAGACCCTGCCTCAAAAAAAAAAAGTCAGCGTGCTTTCTTGTGTTGTTGCTCGTTTAACTTTAAGATGTGCCCCGAACATAGAAAACATAGAACAGCGATGACTGGGACCAGAAGTGTTCTAGTAGGAGCGGGAGAGACAGAGACAGAGGGAGGGTGTTTGGACTCGGCGCTGGCTCTAGGAATGGATGAAAACAGCACACGGAATCCCATTAAGATGGAAATCAATGTTACTAAAAATAAGAACAAAAACAAAGAATTACCTTTCCTGTGGAGGCTCCTGACACCGAGCTATGGTGATGAGGCCCCCACACAGCGCGGGTCACCTTCTGCCTGCCTGAGGACGCCCACACCACACACTGCTTGCACCTCCAGAGCTGTGAGTCCAACTTCTTTCTTCTCCTCTTGCAGCAACACACAGACTAGAGAAGACACA